CGGATGCGGTCGCGGAGCGGCTGGTTACGGCGCTCATGGAGCTGGATCTTTGAGTGTGTGGGGCGGGCGGAGGTGTATGAGTGTATAAACAAAAACGGACGAGGAAAGCATTGTAATGTGTCGATCTAGACTCTAATCAAATTCTAGAATTACTCAAAGGCGAACAGGTTTATGGGCCGCGTTGAGAGGCTGGTACGTCCGTAGTCTTTCCTCTTGGCTGGCTATGTTTTCAACCTTCTATCAATCCGCAATCAACGTGGCTGTGTAATCGCCCCTATCTAAGTAACAACGCCAGGGAGTGCAACATGTCCGAGTCGGCACTTTCGCGGTGTACCTTCAGCGTTGTGCGAGGCTCTCAGGTCTCTCAAGAATTGCTGGATGAATGCGCGCAATTCTTTTCTGCCAACTATGGCGTCTGGAGCCCTGATGTCTCCGCGCCGCTCAAACCAGGCGAGTTTACAGCCCCTGCAAATAGCACTTCGATGACACTGGCCAGGCTTGCGCGTAAGAATGACTCCTGCCAAGCTGAGGAGCGAATGCTTTACCGATCCCGACGCAACTTCCCTGGCTTTGTGCCGCATTGGAAACGATATTGTGGGGTATGCGTTTGCTACGGTCTGGGAATATGAGGTTGGTATATGTGGCGATTTTACGCGTTACTTCTCATGTAACGAATCTAGGTAAAAATGTCTGCTGGGTCACCCAGCTTGTTGTCTCTTCCCAGTACCGCAGACAAAATATCGCGACGCTGCTGCTGACCCCAGCCCCGCCGATTCCATGCCATGCTTTCGGTATTGCTTCATCTCACCCTGGTGCTGTTGCTGCTCTGACAAGTGCCGCTGGTACGTTTTAATCCATTTCTGCAATCACCCCGTGAAGAAATAATTTAGATGCCCCACTCCGCAAAGTCGACCTGAACTTCATCAAAGACACGGCAAACCGGATCCTCGCAACCACACCTGTCCCGTACTTGCGGGCTGCTCAATCACGCGGTTTACGGGGAGCGCTGTTTGGGAATAACAAGGCAGATGGAGGTGTTTGCAGCGTCTTCACGGACTTCTTCGTCGACCATGAGGAACCGCGTGCCGCTCTGGAGATCTGGGAAAATGTCCAGGATATGAAGTGGCCCTTGGGCAAGCTGGCGGCTGGACACGGTATCTGTGCATTGTTCCCATTCAGACCTAGTTCCTAGTTCCCTCCATTTCCTCGCCTGTCGCTGACTCTTACTTAGCATGTTCAATGTAGTACGCCCGATACCTGATAGAGCTCAAATAACGCGTATGGCTCGCCCCATTGACCCAATCTACGTCTCCAGTCAGTGAGCACTGAGCTGGAGCACTGAGCCTCATCCCTCATGTGAGTCCTCACGATCCACCTTGAAATATAGTAAACGGCGCGTGAATGGGACACTTGTGTTGTACCCCGCGCAGTCTTTTCAACAAACGAGAGGCCCAGGTGAGGGAGCGGGCCAGCCCTGAAGTTGAGCGGAATAATCTTGCGGCTGTGTAGATAATGATCTTGAAGTTATCTTATCTCGCTCCTCCACCTCAACCGCCTCGGTTCCGTATGACACTCAACTATCCTTGCTCTTCCCCACCACGCCCCTCAAAGCCAAAGCAGCTTCCAGTAATTTGAACCTTACTACAGCGACCTCGTCCCAATCTACCGAAACAACCGAAACGCGCGATATGGCACCCAAATCAAAGGCGGTTCCCAAAGCCTTGAACTCTATTATTGCAACCTCCCAGCAATCCCGCTTCCATACTGAAACGCTCGATACCAGTCTTGAAATTGATCTCAAGGGCGTTACAATTTCCATAGGAGACCGGGAGCTCATTTCATCGAGCCATCTGCGCCTGAAGCAAGGCGTTAGATTCGGACTAGTCGGTTGCTACTGGTCTCTCTTGAGAGAAGTTTCTCGATTCTGACGCGTTTATCGGTTCATTAAGGTCGCAACGGGTCTGGAAAGTCGACTCTCTTGACGGCGATTGCAGATAAACTCATCCCCGGCTTGAACCCGTCCATCCGAATCCTTCTGCTTTCTCAAGTCGAGGATAGTGCGAGAGCGACTGATACTCCTGGTGTTGGGTCTATCAGCGTCCTTGAGCACGTCGTCAAAGGCGACAAGGAACGGCAGGCTGCGGTGGAAGAGTTCGAAGGCACGTTTGCATCTATCGCGCAATAAATGCCAATTGAGTCGTGTCTTAGCTTTGACCAAGGCCACTGAGACCACATCTCTGCGAGAAACTCAACGCATCGTTTATGGCTTACGTCTCGATGCACGCCGCCGGGAGCTGCAGGAGGCCAGGAAAGTTGCAAGTCGAAGATCCGGGGCGCGCGGTAAAGAGGCACGTTTGGAGGAAATCAAGGCTGAGGAGAACCTCAAACAGGCTGAAATTTTGTACGCGATGGTTCGCCTTTAAAACCGCCTGACTAACGCTCCCGCAAGAGTCGAAAGTGTCGAGACCGCCGATATCGAACCTGATATTATGAACCAGGCGCTGGAGATGCTCCAGAATATCCAGGTTACGCTGGAACTAGTATGCCTTCGACTTTTCACTTGTCCCCACTCTCATTCGGAACTAAAGCTCGAAACTTCGTCCACGGAAGCGCGTGCTGCCAGTATTCTCTCCGGCTTAGGCTTCACCCAAGAAATGGTTGAGGGTCCGTACACCTCCCTTTCCGGTGGATGGAGGTCTCGTTGCTCCCTCGCTACGTCCCTCCTCGTCCACAGCGATTTCTACTTCTCGATGAACCGTCCAATTTCCTGGTTTGTGTTTTTCATTGGACCGATTTCTTTAAATTCATAGCACATCTACGAATAGGATCTTGAAGCAATCATCTGGCTTGAGGGCTTCCTGAGTTCCCAGTCGCGCACTCTTGTGCTCATTTCGCACGACCAAGCCTTTCTGAATAATGTTGTCGAGGAGACGATTATTCTGCGAAATAAAACACTCGAATATTTTGAAGGCACGCCGGCCGCCTTTGAAGTCAACGAGCGGAAACGGGCGAAACAACTTACCAGCGCACAAGAGAGTCTCGACAAGAAACGGGAGCATGTGGGTCGTGTTCTTTCCCCGTCGTACTGTTTTCATATTTTGGGTAGATCGAGAAGTCGATCCAACAAGGCAAAGAAAGCGCCAAGAAAACTGGGGATGAAAACAGGTGTGCATTAGTGTTCCTGGAGAATCGGGAATCGGCTCATCGTTCGTTACAGGATGCGCATGGTTAAATCGCGCCAGAAAAAGTTGGTTACTTCTTCGCTCTTTCGTCCTGCTCAAGTGATTCCGTGTTCAGATTGGATGAACGTTGGGGTGCGGAAACGAGCGCTAAAGGGACACGATTCAAACTCAACCGCGATATGGCGGGATACTTCCTTTCGAATCGGAAGGAGGTCGACCAGATCGTCACCGAGCCAAGGATCAAAATCAACATCGAGAGCCCGGAGAAGCTGCGAACTGCCGGAGACCTGATACATTTCGATGCGGTGGAGTACCGGTTCCCGAAAGCCAAGAAGCCATTCCTCGAAGATATCACCTTCACCGTCAATCAAGGTGGTCGATATGCATTCGTTGGTAACCATGTTCGACCATGATACTTTTACCGTGTCTGAATGCCAATCTGTAGGCGCGAACGGGCAGGGCAAGGTTTGAATTTTCTTCTCAATTTGATAAATATTTACGGAATACGTTTATAGTCAACGATTGCTAAACTGATCATGGGTACGCTCAAGCCCCCAAGGGCACCATCGTCCGGCATCCGCTTCTCAAAATTGGATACTACGGTCAGTACACCGCGCCGTGACAGAAACAGAAACCTAATACAAGTGGAAATAGGCCAACACTCGGTCGAAGAGCTGTCAGGTCCTCAGACTCAATCAACGTCGGGCAGACCAGTGACGGCATTGTCCCATTTCATGGAATATTTCGAGGCCAAGGCGAGACGGTCGTCGAGCAGGATGCCCGAAGTGCCTAGGATCCTTTGGTCTCCAGGGCAAGATCGCAAGTGATACGCCGCTTGTGCAGTTGAGTGGCGGGCAAAAGGTGGTTTTTAATCCAATATCGTGTCGATATCGGGGACTCACCACCGTGAACGGTAGGTTCGGCTGGCCATAGCGCTTATAGTTTTCATACACCGCCTCCGCTGCTGCTTCTTGACGAAGTATCAACACATGTGGACTTCCATACCATCCAGGCTCTTGCAATCGCTCTCAAGACGTTCACGGGTGCGATAATTATAATCACGCACGACCGGTGGGTTTTCCTCCCTGTGCTCCTTCCAATCTCGAATGATCATCCTTTTTGCAGTTGGTTCAGCCGTGTTGTGATCGAGGGCGAATCACTACGACATGCAGCGCCAGACGATGAAGGTTCGGATGAATCTTCCAGTGAGAGGAAGATGATGAAGCTGCTCCACCTGGAAAGACGTACCGGGTCGGTGGGGGCAAGCTGAAACTGATGGAAAAGGGAATGACACAGTACGTTGTATCGTCGAGCGAAAGCTGGCAAGGAAGAAACGAGAGGATACGAAAACTTGACGTGTCTGTTTTTTCAATGTAACATTGCCCTTGTACTCAACCTGGAACCGGATTATATTGCATGTCATACCTGGCCTTCTGGACCACGGTCTGCCGTTCCTCTCGGTAGATCACCAATGCAGAAAAACTAAATCACGAGGGTTTTTGACTAGTTGCCCATTCTTCCGAGCGTGGTAAGCTTGGCACGGCATGCCGGATGAGTACACAAATTCCGGTCTGTGAGCGCTGTCTTTGGTCTGGGGTTTCTAAGTATTTTGTTAGATTAGGTTGGCCAGTCGGAGAAAATTCCAAGTTTTATGTGCACCTTGCGCATCTTTATCAGGACCATACACTCAAATCGTCCTACGTATTATGCGTGGTTATGGTCATGCAAGATCCTCATGGGACTGAGAATCCGATTTAGGGTGCCTAATAATGGAATGAACCTAATCGTGCTGAGAGGATAGTATTCGACCCCTTCTACGCCCCTGTTGTCTAATGGTTATGACGTCAGACTTCTACGTTCGTGTTTCGGATTATCTGGAGGCTGCGGGTTCGAGTCCCGCCAGGGGTTTCTTCATTACATTTTTTTTTTTGGCTTTTTCCATTTTTTTCAACGTGCTCTCACCACTAGCATGAGGTCAGTGTGCAAACTCATGAATCACTGCGTTCAACGGTTCCTAGACCGGCAACCGGCGAGGCCCGCTTAGG